ATACCATTGTGTATTTTCCAGAAAATACAAAAAGTTACTTCACAGATACAGAACAATGAAATACTACTGGAAATTTAATAAGGCATTTAAAAGAAAACACACCGCTATATCGATTTATCCGGCAATGCGTCGGATAATATTTTTGCGTTAAAAACTTCAGAAGCTGGTGTATGAGATTCAAATCCATCTAATACAATGAAAAAAAATTCTAATGTTATCTTAAATTATTTGCAAAATACTAATCCTTCACCCATGCGCCAAATTGCTGAAATAATTGCATAATTGAATGAATTGAATTCAAGATGATTGCAAAAGAATATCATTCAATGCAATTGAATGGAATTTAGAATTTTGAAAATGGAATTTAGAATTTTGAAATGCTTAAAATCGTGACTTTTTATAATAATATCAACAAATATGTTTGAATTGTTTATAAAAGAATTCTAAATAATAATGGGATTTGACAAATCCTTAGATACATAAACAACGCACTATAGAACACATTTGTGTCGAGTATTTCGGTTTCAAAATTGTCGGAGTCGTGGAGTTGTTAAGCGGATATAACTCCACCATGAATCGGAGTTAAATCCGAGTCGATCCGGCTTCGGATATGATAAGCCCATCTCTAATATATATATAAATAAATAAATATATATATATATATATATATATATATATAAATTTATTTATTTATTTATTTATGTGTATGTGTGTTGCTTTTACGATGATGTTTGCCCAGATACTCCAAGTGGTTGGCTTCGGGATTTAGTTATTGAGAAGAAAGAAAGACGCAAAAAGGAAATGTTGCAAAACAAAAGATCATCCAGGTCCAGAGAAACCAGGAATAACACAAAAAACAAAAAACGACCTAAATGGAAAGGTCCATTGGACACACATAGTCCTACAACTACAGCTAACGAGGTAAACATACACCTGATATTGAAATAGAAGATAATTTAAGAATGATGATTAATCTTTATTGTATATTAACCCTTTTCACTCTGTAGTTGCCATTGTTGCACCGTATACATGCGCCAATGGAGCGCAAAAGTTAAAGTAGTATAAAATGATACCTGTCAGGTTACACATACAATTGATGAAGCATCAAACACTTTTTTTTTATAAATATGAGCTAAGTTTTAATATATGTTTATTTCTTTCTTGTTAATGATTAATTATTCATTTGGTATTTATAACTTTCTGAAGAGGTTTGTTATTGCCAGAATAATTGACTTACTAGTTTTTGATGCTTCTGGTCATTCTTCGAGACCGAAATTGGAAAAAGTTTGTGTGTGCATGTGAATTAAAATATGACCGATCTTCGATGCTTTTTTAAAAATGGCTGCACCGATTTCAAAAGTTTAAAAGTCATTTAATAAAACTCAAAATAAACTAGCTAATGAGACGATAGGCAAAGCCGTTTTGTAAACGTTTTTATATTACAACTTTAAATTCACTAATCAGATAGTTAATGCAACTTTCTAATGATAAAATGACACTTTCAGCTAGTCGTAACTGTTGAGTTGGTATACCAGCCAATATTTATTTATTGTTTAACTATAATTTATCTAATATTCTCAATAATTATATTAATTAAATAATTTTAATAACAATGTTACAACTTATATTTTATATAATCATAAACAATAATTGGACCATATTGTTTGTCACATTTTTTATGTAATGAAATGTTATATAAACATTTGTAATTCAAATGTTCTGCTTTTATTATGAGTGATGCTGGTAATGGTGTTTTTTCTCCCACCATCTCGATATATCCGTTATATCCATTTTTATGTTAATGTTAAAAAGTATGTAAAATAAACTCTCTTGCCATGAACATCCCGAAACAAGCAGCACTAAAATAGATTGGTATATTTTGAAGGAAGCATTTTAACAATATTTATTGAATATTTATAATATTTATTTCTAATATTTATAATATTCATTCAAAGATACATGTATCTCCCGCACTATTTATGTGTTAATGTAGATTTTTACTAACCAATGCTGCAGTAAAGAATAATATTATATAATAATTATTTATCTTCATAGGATAATGTTTCTCAATGGTCATCGGCCAGTGTGTTAAGTGCTAAATTGAAGCATAAGATGAAATCTAAAAGATCCAAGAAAACCAAAGGAGAGTCCAAACAGACGTCTGCGATGAAATGTGCAGTTACAGAAAAGGGTACGGATAGTCCTGTAGCTGAACGTAAGTTGAATTAGGAATGATATTATGACTTAATCGATTGAAATTGCTTCGAGAAATAACTTATCCATTAAGATTTGCTTAGAGAATTAACTTATATAGTTTATTATAAAAATAGCTAACACTTTTTTTCAGTTGCTGAATTCGATGTGCCAAAAACTATTGTAGTTAACAATATTCAAGAAAGCTATGATAGTGCCAATATTTTTATAAATAAAGAGGTATTTATAACAAATTATAAATTCACATTTGTTATTTGATTTGAATATAACATTGCACAGTAATACCTTAAAAAAAATTACATTAATAGACTTTATTTATTACATCTTTTTACAATTACATTTTTATATATTTCAACAAAATTTCAGGATCATTTGAATATGAATGAAGAAGTATGTTTGCAAAGCAGCTGGTCTTCTTACGAAAATTTAGTGTACGAGGACAGGTATTTTTTTAATATTTCATACAAGTATTTAAAACTTTTGTTTGTGGACTAATAACCTAACATGGAAAAATAACTATCATACAAGAGTGTAAAAAATAATTTGTTTAAATGAAAACATCAAGTAGAGTGTATTAGAACATTTTAAACTTTCTGAAGAAGATTAGGGTTTTGTATAAAAAAATTATTAATTATATTCTTCAGAAGAAGTTTTAATAATGAGCTGTTCCAGTTATATAATCGGAAATATACTGTAAGTAGTATGTGTTTTGTATAAATACAACTTTTTGTCCATGATTTTGAGAGCAGGGATCAACTGATTTTAATGATTCAATTATCATTTGTTTCTTATTCATGGGGAGATGTGCTGAATAATTTTTGGCAAAGGCTGGTCCAACCGTTTTGGAGATATGGGACAAAAAATTAAAAAAATGGAAAGTCAGTTTACGTGAGAACGGAAGCATCTTATTAAATTGATTCAAAAGACCTTCAATTTGTATTGACAACGCGATGTGCTGATTACATTTTTACAAAGGCAGGTCCAGCGGTTGCGGAGATATAGAAAAAAGTGCCATTTGGTGGCCAAGAATTAATAATGATTAGTAATGATCATTACTAATCATTATTAATGATTCATATACAAATAAAATTATTGGTAAATAGATAGACAGATAGACTGGTAGGCAGGTAGATAGGTACAGATAGACAGGTAAACAGGTACAGATAAACAAGTAGAAAAGTAGAAATGCCGATAAGTAGTCAGGTAAGCAGGTGGGCATTTACACAGATAGACATGCAGGCAGCTAGACAGGTAAATAGATAAACGGGTAGAAAAGTAAAAAAGGAGACATATACATTAGTAGAATGATAGACTCAAGTAGGCTGATGGGCAGGTAGACAGGTAGACAGGTACGCTGGCAAAGAAATAGACAGGTAGGCAGGAAGACAGGTAAACTAGATAGAAGGTAAATCATATATAAATCGAAAAATTATTTATCAATTCAATTATTTACACTTTTCAGAAAGATAAGAATATGCAACTTTCCACTAGGCAAAATGCTATTTACAACTAGTTTATTTATTATAATTAAACCGAGTATGTATGTATGGATACAAATTTCCGCCCACGTTTTCGGGCGTACGGATCAACCGATTTGATCAATCGAGCGTACGATCGATTCCTATTGATAGGGAAAAGAGCTGATTAGTTTTTGGCAAAGGCAGGTCCAACCGTTTCGGAGATACGGAGCAAAGAGTGCAGAAAATAGAAATCGAATTTTTAAGAGAACGGAGTATCCAATTTGAATGATCTAAAAAACATTCAATTAGTAATGATTGGGAGAAGTGTTTATTAGTTTTTGGCAAAGGCAGGCCCAGCCATTTTGAAGATACGGAGCTAAATATGTAAAAAATGGCAATTTTTGAGAGAACTAAGCGTCCGATTTAAATGATTCAGAACTTTCTTCTTGTCTTAACAAAATAAATGATTTTGGAAAAAAAAAATTGTTCCAATTTTTTTTTTTTTTTTAGTTTTTTGTATATCGAAAATATTTCAGATTTTATTTTTAATTCTGACTATAGTTCAAATATACTTTACAAATAATTTCAAATCTGCAATTCAGTTTATATAATTCTTATAAATATTAGACAATGTTACAATATTTATATAATAATCTATTTGAAAACATTCAGTATTCCATGAACATTTCGTTACGGTACGGGAAGTTCGAGCAATTTGCCTTAAGGCACGATGCCATAATTGCCTCAAGACAGAATTCCACTTACAGCTAGTTATTATTCATTTTCCAAATGAACAGTATATTAATTATTTTGATATTCTATAGAAAATTACGTGAGAAAAAACGTAAACATAAAGGAAACAAACGACCTTATATTATTTCTGAATTCGGTCTGTTGAGCAAAAGAGCTAAAAGTAGGAAGAGAGCTGGAACCTTTCTGGATTCTCCAGCCGGAAATGCTAACGATAGAGAACCATATCGTGTAAGTTTATCATCAAATATCATACATTAGAAATTACTTATGAATAAATATCAAAGGCATTTGATTTATGTGATTGAGGGACCGATTCTGCCGCATTACAGAAAAAGTTATAGCAAGGTCATGTTATGCAGAACTTTCCATACTAACCATTGGCAAAAGCCATGTGGTTGGTGTCAGGCGTATTTCTCAGGTTTCCGATAGTAAACTTAACCTAGAACCCGCACAATTGTCAAAAATACAATCTTAGTTAACAGGGTCTTTCTGCAGTTTCTGTGTAAAATGCCTGAATGCACAGAAAATATATAACATTTTGACAGTATTCAGTACGTTTCAGTAGCATAATCTATGCAAGTTGGAGCCTAACATGGCCTTGCCATAACCTTTTTCTGTTATGCGGCTGAATCGGTCCCTGAATTGCACCTATATACATTATCCGTTTTCATCACCTATTAATTTATATTATTTCTTCCTATTTTGATCAATTCTAGGATAAAATTATCATCTCAAAGAAGGTTTAGTAATATTATAATTATGAAATTCATATGTATTTAATTTGTTTTTGTGTATTATTTTATAGATCGATACCGATTTGGAGTCTTCGAGTAGTTCCAAGCTAGAGATTGCCATGAAAAAGTATCTGAAGAAATATAACAAGAAACAAGGTAAACGGTCACCAATGTATTGGAATAAATCTCTTGCGGATAATTTGGTGAAGAAAGAAGAAAATCTGTTGGGTATCAAAGATTTCAAGTGAGTCGATGATAATATAAATTATATAATATTCTATATCTACATTCATGGATTCTGCATAACAGACAAATATTATGGCAAAGCTATGTTATGAAAAACTTTCCATACAAATTTGTTCTAAATATTGAGTGAAGTCATGTGGTTGCTGTGCAGTCAGGCGTTTTTATCAGGTTGTCAGATAGAAAACCTAACCAAGAAACCGCACGAATGTCAAAAAGAACGATCTTAGATAGCAGGGTCTTTCTGACCCAGCTTCATAACATACAAGTGTGTTGCAGTTTATATATAAAACGCCTGAATGCACAGCAAATACGTGACATTTTGACATTATTCAGTATTATATGTATGGAAGTTGAAGCGTAACATGGCCTTACCATAACATTGGTCTGTTGATTGGCAGAATCGGACATATATGTTTTTTCGTTTTATAAGCAATTTTGACAGAGTTAATGTACTGAAAGTATACCTAACATAGCAGGAGGCCTGCAAAAATTGGTTGAATATTATATACATTTATTAAAATTAGGAATAACGGTTAGCTCTTTTAGGATTTATGAAGTCTATATGAAATGCTATAATTAATTAATTCAATTACTGATATGATATTATTATAACATACTTGAAAAATATATTAATTAGCTTTTAGTGAAAGCGAAAAGTTTATTTTTGAAATAAACAGTTGAAAATTACATCGAAATAGCTTAATTTTAATTTATATTGATCAAGTCCTATTATTACACATATAGTCCAGTCATTTAGGCTTAAATTAGATAAGAATCTCGGAATTTGAGATACCCAGCTGTAAGCCTGTAAATACTTGTATATTGACACCTTAAAGTTGTCTCAAAACCTACATATGGTATTGACACCCTACCATATGTAGGTTTTGAGACAACTTTAGAGTGTCAATATACAAGTATTTACGGACTTACAGCTGAGTATCTTGAATTCCGAGGTGAAGTTACTATAATGTCTGGACTAATATCAGTAAGTTAATTATGCAGCTTTTCTTAAGAAAGATGCCGCTTTCACTTAGTATTATTATTTATTCTACCATATTTGTACTACATTTTATAATCACCTACATATTTGCATGTTATATAATATATTACATATATTAAATTCTTTATTATGTGTTATAATGCATTCATTTATTATATGGCAGAGTACATTTTACAAGTATAATTAATAATATTTATATTTCTTTTCTCTTTTCATAGAAATTTCCGAGGTCTATACACACCCACTGGACAGAACAATTTAAAATACAACCCCCGAAGAAAATATAAGAAATCTGTTGAAAAACGCAAGAAAATCCCCCCTCTGGCGCCTAAAAGATACACAAAGAAAGACCATGAAGTTTCAAAATATCCAGATGACACTGGTTCCATATTGGAAATTTACTCTCCTGATTTGTGTTCCTACACAACCAATTGCAGTTCTCTCGAAAGCCAGAAACAGGATGATAATGAGATTATCAATGGGAACGACAACGTTTTTCCAGTAGCAGTGCAGAACTTAGATTATCAGGTAGAACCAGATGGTAAAAAGCATTATGATAGCAAAAAAGGCAAAAAGGATGATGCTTATATCGATTTCAATAAAAGTTTGGACTTGACCGATTCCCAGTTTTCACAAATTGTGAGACAACTCAAACGTGGTTATAAAGTCCATGTGAAGACCTTGGAAGATTTGCAGACTTCTATGAATAAGACGGCGCGCAAACAAAGATCTAAACCTGCGATTGAAATCGAGACCAAGAAAAACAAGAAAGCACGGCATATGCGACAGGATAGGATATTGGATAGGAAATATTTTAACAAAGATATGAGCGAGTTGACAGACAATAGCAGTAGCAATCTTATGTGTCCTGATATTGTTGCTAAGCAGAAGTTGAAAGAACCATGTGATTATGATGACAATGATAAAAACCATGGAAAACATTTACATAAAAACAAAGGCTTGTATGACGAATCTAAAGTTGAACACAACTACAATGATCAGCTTAGACAAAATTCTGATAAATATCATTATGATAATTCTGGAGAGTCCTCAAAGTTACCAGAACCATTAGAATATCATAAGCATCGCGAAAAGGTGCACAAGAAGCATTACCAAGATAAGACTTCTGAAAACAATGATCTTTATATTAATGATGACTCTGAGAAGGTCCATAAGAAGCTTTGCCTGGATAAAACTCCTGAAAATGATGATGTTTATATTGTAGACGACTCTGGGAAGGTGCACAAAAAGCTTTACTCAGATAAAAGTCCTGAAATGGATGATGATTATATTGTTGAAGATTCCCACAAAGTGCACAAGAAACTCTACCTGGATAAAACTTATAAACACGATGATGTTAATAATGTTAATGTTACTGATAAATATAAGGTACACAAGAAGCTTTACCAGGATAAAACTCGCGGAAACGATGATGTTTATATAACTGACGACACTGAGAAGGTGCACAAGAAGCTTCACCTGGATAAAACTCCTGAAAACGATGATTTTTCTATTATTGACGACTATGAGAATAGAAAGCGTGTAAGTAAAGCACACACAAAAAAGTATCCTGATAACTTTAGCAATGACGTAGATTTTAATGATAAAGTTAATACATATGGTAAAAACCAAGAAAATACGTACCGTGAACAATTGAATGAAACCAAGAATAAATATTATGATGCATCTAAACATAAAACGTACAACCAACCGAAAACTACTAAATACTTGGACAACTATGTGGACAAAACCAAACGGCACGAAATCGATTTGTATGATAATGAAAACTTATCCTTCAACAAAAATGGTGATAGAACTTATGTCAAAAAGAAGGTTCAACAACAAAACAATTATGAAGATCATCATAACCGGAACAATTACAATACAAATCATGATTCTTCACCAGAAGCAAAAGTTTTACAGAAACTTACCACCAAAGACCACTATCCTTCAAGTTCAAGTGAAGAGCAAGAACAACTGTTATGGACTAACATGGGTGATAATAATTCAGGTGACAGCAGTACATTGGTATCATCAGATGTTGAATATTTTGATAAACCAATGGATATATCAGCTTCAAATTCAGGTTACTTACGTGCAGGTTCTGAAGAACTTAAACCAGTTGTCGATAATAATGAATGCTTTGATAGCAATAGAGGTATTTTTGGAGATATTGATGATGGTTTTGCTAAATTCAAGGACCAAAAAAAGACACACAGTCAAAGAGCGTCTGAAAACATAACAAGTTTGGATAATTTTGTTTGTGTTAACGGTTACTTTGATGATCCTGGTGATGAGTTTGATGATTTTAAAAGTATAAAAAATTATGATAAAAATGAATACTGCAGTGTTGGAAAGTATCGCCACTTTGATAGTAAAAAACACAAAAATACCTTCAAAAAGGATGACAAAAATATCAAATCCATCAATGAATCTAAAACCAAATCCAAGAACCATGCGGATAAGTTAGATGAGAATAAATCCAAAAGGCATCATCACGATTCACCAGATCGAGTAGAACATAGGCACAAAGGTCAAAATAAGCACAATTACTATGATGATGTGTATGAACAAGATCAGAAACCTTTAGAGGTTGTAAAGCGTTATGAAATTACTAGCGATGAAAAGTTGTTGGAGATTCCTGATGATGACAGGAACAATTATGTGTACCAAAGTATTGATTCAAGTAAAGAATCATCGTTTGCTACAAATCCTTTGATGGATGATGCTTCTACTGAACAAAGAACAGTTGATTACGGGTAAGAGAAACAATTATAATTACAATTATTTTTATTAATCTAAGAAATCCAATGTGCCTAATTTATGTTTTATCGAGGTGTCAATAAGTTATCCTAACCCTTGGACACCGCAATTGGAAAGAGTATTATATGTGAGGAAAAATTTGGAATTTTGTCGATTTTTTTCTCTAAACGATTTTTATAATTAGTAGATGAATGCGTGATTTTTTGTCAACATATTTGCCAAAAATTTAGAACCAATTTTGAAAATTCAAAAACTGCATTAAAGATATCAGTTGAGAATCTTTTTGACTATAATCTTTGGCAAAGATCGGTCCGGCCGTTTCTTTGTTATTAATTGTTGAAATTGTTTTTGAAACATCATAATGAAACTTTATATTTCATGATCTTAAAAAATATCCTAAAAATTCATTAATGTTTAATTATTTATTAATTTATTCATCTATCCATTTATGAATTTATTTATAATAATTTTCTAACCCTCAGGGCGTACGATTCTTCGACACACTACTCAACCTCATTCGGAAATATATACGAAGATAACCGAGTGAAATCTCTGCGTTCGGTTCGGTTCGGCTCGGACGTGCTTGTCCGGTATGACGACTGCCCTTCCGGTACGATGAGTCCGAACGAGGATAACCAATGCTTCGAAACAGGTAAGATTGAACATGTGAATATTATCTTTGAAAATATAAAGAACACTACATCTCTTTACTACACTTTGCAATATTTTTCTGAACGATGCTAGAGTTACAAACGCTTCAGACTATGGTTTTTCTCATCATAAGTATAAATATAAATGAATTATGGTACCTGCATATTGTCTACTTATTGATGATGACTATTATATACTTTACTGAAGATTTTACAATCATGATAAATTCGTTCTTTTGTACTCCACGCTATTTTAGTACATACTTTTGTTACTAGGGATAATAATCTGATGTAACACAGGTGGCGTAGCTGCCACGTAACGAAAATGAAATATACATTAAACATGTATATGTAGCTTCCACGTAACGAAAATGAAATATACATTAAACATGGCCGCTGGTTCTTTAATACGTTTTAATAACATTAATGTCTCTAAAATATCTTCTGTGCTTCATGTTTTTCATGTTTATGTTTAGGCGTGAGATTTTGGATATTAAATTTATGAAACATAATCAAAGTAGTTGTTACATAATAAAAATAAATAAATTGTAGGACTATTAACTATGTATATGCAATATCAAAGTTTTTTTAACGCGATTTTAATTTACTTTAGATTTAAAAAGTTTACTGAGACACTTGTAGATTCAGTTGTATGCGCCTTTTTCAGAAACTTTGCCGAATAAACCATAGTGAGGAAGTGAATTTCAAATCAGTCAAATGTTCAATATTAGTTGTTACTCCAAGATTTAGGTATTACATTAGAAAGGCAAAAATTATAATTTTTTACTAATCAAACATACAATGTAAAATGCAGAATTGCGATATGCTCTAATGAACTTTCTTCGTCCTTACAACTAGACCCACCCTAATAATATATAATAATATTTTTACAATATACTTATTTTATATATTTATTTTGATGCTTATATTTTATATATTTATAGTTTTCTGACTTATTTTAAATTCAAAAAGTTTACCGAGGCATTTGTAGAAACTGTTTTATAGGTCATATTATATTATATGACCTATATATTATATTTATATAGGTCATTTTCATATATTATATTTATGTAGGTCATTTTCAGAAACTTTGCCGAATATACCATAGTTTGGAATTGAGTTTTTAATTAGTCATATTTTCAATATAATTTCTTCTCCAAGCTTTAGGTATTCCATTAAAAAGGCAAAAAACGTCATTTTTTTACTATCCATCAAGTATATATGGTGCAATTCTGCCGCAACAGAGTTCATAACATAGCGTTGCCATTTTCATCTTATGCTCGTTAATTACTTGGCAGTGAAAACTGTAAAAATGTTTATCTATTTGCTGTGTAATCAGCAGGCATAGTTTACATATAAGCAAGCAAGTATGAATGTTGTAATAACAGCATCTACAAAGATTATGTTATCATAACATACTTTCTTGCTTGTTTATATGTAAAATATGCCTGATCGCACAGCAAATAGACATTTTCACAGTTTCCACTACCAAAAAATAAGCATAAGATAGCGTTGCCATGACAACTATTGCTATGTTATGAGCTCTATATGGGCAGAATTGTCTCAATAATGTAAAAATCAATACTGCGATATGCTCTGGTGAACTTTCTTTGTCCATACAACTTGACCCACCCTGATATTTTTACAATATACTTATTTTATTTTATATTTTTATTTTAATTTCTATATTCTATATATTTAATTTTAATTTTTTACCACTGCTTGTTTGTTTTATGTAATTAATATTTACTTTTTTTATTGAACAGAGAAACAAGATTCTATGGATGCTTTTGGGAAACAAAATCAGGCTTACTACAGAGTTGATAGAATATCATATGATTTCGAAAGAAATTTTGGGGTTGAGGATGATCGAGAAGTGAGCTTGAGGTAAAATTTAATCTAATTACAAATTACACTATTTTGAATTACCTTCACATAATAGTTTTAATTTAAAGTAACAACTTATAGTAAGAATACTACATTTTGATTGCAGGAACAACAATAAATCTATTTCTTCTCCATCTATTCCACCAAAGACAAGGCTGGCCATGAAGCTGCAATATATTTTTGGACTCAATGATATTGGTAAATAACTAATTAATTAATTTAATTAAGAAAATAATAATAATATATTGGTAATAGTCATAACAAGTTTGTTACGATTATAAATAATCTTGATTGTGTATTGGTTGAGATGAGTTTTGCCATATTTTAATGAATAAATTAATAAATTAATAGGGCAATTCTGTCATAACAGAGCTCATAAAATAGTGTTGTCAAGGCAACGCTATCTCAAGCTTGTTCCCGGTAGTGAATATTATGAAAATGTCAATCTATTGTGCAATCAGAGGTATTTTATATCTAAACAAAGCAAGGGAGAATGTTATGATAACTGCATGATCAAAGCTTCTGTTATCATAACATTCTTTTTTGCTTCTTTATATGTAAAATACGCCTGATCGCAAAGCAAATAGACATTTTCATTATTTTCACTACCAAGAACAAGCATAAGATAGCGTTGCCATGACAAAGCTATTTTATGAGCTCTGTTACGATAGAATTGCCCCATAAATTACATAAATAAACTTAATAATTAAATATATTAAGATTATGTTTGATATAAAGGTCTTTTTAATATCATATATATATATATATATATATATATATATATATATATATATGATATTCTTGTAAACAGTTTTTTTTAAAATAATGCATGCATGAAATTTAACTTAATAAGTCACAATTTATTTAAAAAATATATTTATTTGTATCCAAAAAATAATTTACTAATTATTTTTAAGTAAAATGTATTTATATATGTACATACTATCCAACCCAGCCAAGCGTTTCTTTAATAAGTCTGCAAAAAAAATTAGAATTAAAAAAAAAATATTTTAGTAACTTACAATTAGATGCCAAAACCGCTATCTATTAGGAATTTATGAATGCACACTAATGTCGAATAATAAATTTAATAATTTGCAATAATTTTGATTTCAATAGTTAAAATAAAAACTATTCGATATTTATAAAGTATAAATTATTAAATTTATTAATTAATTAATTTTTTATATAATCTCAGTTAATTCCTAATAAAAAAAATGTGCTTTTTACTATTTTACTAAAATTTGTTTCGTAATTGTTTTTTAATTTCTTGTTACCCCATAGCCGGTGTAAAATAGGAAAGCCAGGACCAGCAAATAGATCCAATTTCTTATTTTTAATTTTAAAAGGATTTTACGATATATAATAAGCTACATTATTATTCAACCGATTCAAAATATAAATCATAGGTAAAGTTTTTACAAAGCCAGGCTGTATATAACCTTGATCTGGTATTTCACCCAAAATATTTATCGGCAGAATTGATACTATTTATTTAATTCATCTCTTGTAAAATTGCTTTTTTAAACTTAGTTACTTTTTTATTTACTATTTTTTGTTGTTTACACTTTTGCCGGAGTAAAGGTTCACTTAAGGTTATATAAAAGGTTATATAAAAAAAATCTATTGATTGTAACTTAAATACTTTTGTTATGGATTTCCAAATATTGTCGTACATCTCCTGATAGCGACGTTGTAATAATATTGTTATTAAAAAATTTCTTAATTTTACTTGTTTTTTTAGATATCGGTAGTGGACCTTTTTATGAATACAATTATATAATCACTCATTTATTTATATGTTTGTTTATAGAAAATGAGGACGAAGATAGTTTAGAACACAGTTCATCTTTAGTGAAGTTCACAACCATTCCACCATCAAAAATGAAGAAGAAAAATAAGAAAAATAAGAAAAAGGTATGTTTATGTGTATATATATATATATATATACACACAAAACTTATGCAATTTTTTATACATGCTTAATTATGTATGTTTATATACATACATATAAATATATATATATATATATAGTAGGAGTCTTTCGTTGACCGCCGTAACGTACAGACGTGCCGTTTTAACTTGCCGCAATGATGTCACAATCGACACCATTAGTGCCAGAATCGGAAGTGAAAAGTTCCTATAATTGCTGTGAAACAAAGGCCCCAAATGTAGGCATTTGTAAAAACTGCGGAAAAATGTACCACATTAGTTGTGCTAATAGGAAAAACTTCAAATTTCTATATCGTAATCTGATACAGTGTTGTGTTAACAGTGAAGTGTACAGTGACCATATGGAAACAATTTCTAGGCTTGAAAAAACAATTGCCGACAAAAACACCATAATAGAAGACAAAATTACCATAATAAAGGATAAGGAGTACATAATTCAGCAGCTTGAGGATAAAATCAAGCTGCTGCAATGGGTAAATCCGAATCAAAAGAAGGAGCAGGTTTCTTCAGCTGCACCCAGTATTGATATCGATACTGAGAAAGCAGTCAATAAGAAATCAAAAAAAAAGAATGGAAAGAAATCGAATGTTAACAAGGAAAAAGATTCCAGCAAAATCTCAAGTGAACAAGTTAGTGTCGCAGTAGCAACGGCGCTGAAGAAATTGGAAGAGCGGAAAATTGAAACGTTCCGTGATGCCGTGGCGTCTACCGCTTTGCCTTCCAACGCCGTCACTAACAATAAGAGCGTAACAGAAGAACAAAATTGGACTTTGGTCCAAAGAAAGAAAGCGCCAAGGCGAAAGGCCACAACTATCGAAGGCACAAATGCAAATGCCGTGTTAAAAGGTGTGGTGAAGCAAGCGCATCTACATGTGTTTCGACTGGCGCCAGAAACAACGGAAGAGCAATTGGAAAATTACCTGCGGGACAAAAATTTCGAAAACGTAACGTGCAAAAAAATTGCATCCAAACATCCAAACGTATATTCATCATTCAAGGTATCAGTTTTGGAATCAGAATTAGAAAAAATTAAATCGCCGGAAATATGGCCTCAAGGAGTATGCGTGGATCGTTTTTTATTCAGGCTCCAAAAGCAACCAAGCAACGACAAGTAAATATATTAAATATACTCTGTCTGAACATTCAATGCTTATCAAATAAATCAGCTGCTTTGTCAAATGTAGTCAACGTAAATAATATTGACCTACTTTGTCTGACAGAACACTGGTTAAATGACAAACAAATCAATTTATTTAATATTCGTGACTTTCGGCTGATCAGCAGTTTTTGCCGTAGTGAACACATACATGGCGGAGTTGCAATATTTTGCCGAAATCACCTTGACTGCGCCGAATTAAATGACATTGCAGTGCAATCTGCTGAGCTTGCATGCGAAGTAGCGGCGTGTTATTTAAAACAAATAAAAACAATTATTATTGTTATTTACAGGTCGCCAAATTCGACGTTAAATATGTTTTTATTAAAACTTGAAGAGATACTGACGCGCATATTTAACAATTCGAATCGAAAACTAAAGTCATCATATGCGGTGATTTCAATGTGGATTTCTTAGTAGATTCGAATGATAAAATTGCGCTAATTAACTCTGCTTCCACTTTTGGACTGGAACATAGGTTAATGAAACCAACACACATCAACGTGAACTCTAAAACTTGCATCGATAATGCATTCACAAACTTACAATCAGACCAATTCATAATTGATACTTTATCATGTTCGATCTCCGACCATGAAGCATTGATTATGAATCTCAAAACTTCTTCTACCAACGCGAACATCCGCATAATAAGAAAAATAAATGAAAAAAACATGGAACACTTCAAAAAACAACTATCTCTAGTTAATTGGAATTGCCTGGACCAGACTGAAGATAGCAACAAACAATTCAATATTTTTCTGAATATTTTTAAACAAATCGCAAACAACGCGTTCCCTTACAAACGCATATTGATAAACAAAAACAAAATTTCGGCGCAGTCAGAAAATCTACGAAATCTCAAAGAACTTGTGGATTTTCTATATGATGCTTTTAAACAGTCACAGCGAATTGATCTGAAACAATACTTTGAACATTATAAAAGATTATATAACCATAAGATGGAAATGGAACGTCAACAAAGTAATGTAATGAATATAGTTAAATCAGATAATAAACAACAAACTATATGGAATATAATAAAACAAGAAACAGGTCAAAAATATTCAAATAATATCGGAATTGGTACGCCATCAGCAAACGAATTTAATCATTTTTTCAGGAATGTAGCTGTCAATCTAACCAAGGACTTGCTCGACGCAAAGACTAGACCCGAAGCTTATTTAGCTAAGATATATGTCAGTGGGCGAAGTATGTTCCTGAGACCAACATCTCCAGAAGAAATTGTTACAGCGATTAAAAAGATGAAAATCAATGATAAACAAGACATCACTTGACGCTTTTGGACTAAACGCTAAAATGATCAAACCAGTAGCCGAGTATATAGCTTCACCGCTCTGTGCAATCGTGAACAATGTATTCGCTACAGGACAGTTTCCAGATAAAATGAAACTGGCGAGAATCATTCCAGTGTATAAATCCGGAGACCGCCAAGATGCATCCAATTATCGGCCAATCGCCATACTGCCTGTATTTTCTAAACTGATTGAAATGTTGTTGGCCTCAAGAATACTAAATTTCTTTGAAGCCAATAACTATTCAAACAACAGTCAATTTGGGTTTAGAAAGGGGTTGAATACGATCGACGCCATAGTAAATTTTCTAAATTTCATACAAGATTCTTTAGAGAATCATGAACATTGCGGTGCGCTGTTCTGTGACCTTAGTAAGGCATTCGATTGCGTACCACACAAAATACTTCTAAAAAAACTTGAATATTATGGACTGAGAGGTGTTCCGTTAACGCTGATGCAATCTACTTCACGAATCGTCAACAATTCGTCGACTGGCAATATAAGCTCAGTAATGCAGAAGTAGTACCAGATATTGGAATTGTCCAAGGCAGTATTTTAGGTCCGCTACTATTCCTAATA